GCAACAAAACCAAGGTCCGAAGGCGAAGTCGTACTGCTGACTGTACAGAGGTGTGACAGCAGTAAAGTGTTTCCTTCAGACAACCAGCATGACAGCGATGCTGCCTTCCCACAAGAAGGGGTGGAGTTAGAAAAGGTCGACCCTAAAAATGCACACCTCGCCTTATCCCACCGATATCCGTCTCCAGCGGTAAGGTCTCAACAAGTACGGAGCTAACACAAAAATTACTCATAAAAACGTCGTGTGACCGACCTCAAGCAGCTGTCCCTTGGGCACTGCGGTCACGCTCTCAGGTCACTATGACCACCTCTAATCCAATTTCCTTTTCAGGTACCTCCAGAAGAACCCTTCCACGGTGTGGGCAACCGGGAAGTGATAACCGCCCTCATACCTCTAACAGCACTCAAAACCACTGTATTCATAATCAACCTCCCTCTTCAATTCCTATTATCCCTCTTATATCGACTTTCAAATCTAAACTCCCTCTTTCTGCTTCCTTCTCAAGTGTCACCACGGCCAACGATTCTAATGCGCAAAACACTGTCCCAGGTCTACTGAAGCCTCGCTCCAAAGTACACATTGGAGCCTTCAACGTACGCACACTATGTCAAAACGGTCAGCAGGCTTCCTTGGCTAAAACCTTAGAATCTCGTACGATTGATGTATGCTGTGTCTCCGAAACACGCATGCAGCATCCTAGTGTGGTCATTCACTTGACCTCACCTCGGCAAAACGGATGAAGTGAAAGATGAATTTTACAGAAAACTCTCTGGACTTCTTCAGAAATCTAAACGCTCTGACATAGTACTCGTAGCAGGCGAGTTTAATGCCCAGGTAGGTAGCTTAAACGAAACAGAAAGACATTTAGGTGGGTATTTTAGTATTCCGGCACAGAGAACAGATAATGGTGATCGTCTGCTGCAACTGTGCTCAGACAATCGATTATTTTTAGCAAACACAAATTTTAAGCATAAGGACAGACACCGTCTGACATGGCGACCCCCTGCACCAAACCAACGATGGACTCAAATAGACCATATTGCCATCAGTCATCGTTGGAGAGGGTCGATAGAAGACTGTCGCTCATTCTGGAGTACCTGTTTGGACTCCAACCATGCCCTAATACGAGCACGCATCTGCTTGCGCCTCACTGGACGCAAAAGAGCCACACAAAAAAAACTCATTAGAACCGAATTGAGTAACGAGAAAACCAAAAGTAGGTTACAGGAGCAACTGAGGTCACACTTAGGTAGTTCTGAAAACGAGGCTGACCCAGATGTTGCTTGGAAAGATATACAAACAGATGTGGAAACAGCAGTGACATCTACTAGTGATTTAAACCACAGGGTTACAAAAAACCAATGGATCTCTACTAGGTCTATTGCACTGATGGATTCTCGAAAACTCATCCCATCAGGATCTGAACACGATGATGAGCGAGAGCAAATCAGATCTAGGTTAAGCAAAAGTCTAATGAACAATCGTGAGCAGTGGTGGGCAACGAAAGCAAAAGAGATGGAAAAGGTGGCGGCTGTAGGTAACACCAGACAGCTCTTCAGACTCATAGAAGAAACTGGAACTACAAAGTCAGGTGTAAGTGAGACTATCTCAGAAAAAGACGACGCTCTCATCTGCTCCCAGTCCAGACATTTAGAACGATGGGCGAAACACTTTAAGGAGCAGTTCAGCTGGCCTCTAGCTACTCTACAACTACCCACCATTCCGTGACAGTGTGAATGGAACATTGAAGTAGGTCCCCCAACTCTAGCTGAAGTTCAAAAGGCTATAGCTAATCTGAAACGAGGAAGGGCAGCTGATTCAGACGGATTGGCCCCAGAGGTCTTTAAGGATGGTGGTCTAGTTTTAGCGATTAGGTTGACTAATATTTTGGCTAAAATCTGGGAGTTAAAGGTTATCCCATCTAACTGGTCACAATCACTTATCGTCCCAATATTTAAGAAAGGGTCAAAATCATCCTGTGACAACCACAGAGGGATTAGTTTACCTAATATAATATCTAAAATACTAGCTTCGATAATTTTCGGACGCCTAACTAAGACTCGTGAGCTGCAAACACGTGAAAATCAAGCTGGCTTCAGACCTGGTCGTGGCTGCATCGACCACATATTCACCATTCGTCAGGTTCTAAGACACAGGCATACTCATCGGCGTCCGACAATAGTGGTCTTCCTTGACTTAAAAGCAGCGTTTGACTCTGTTGACTGAGAGGTTCTGTGGCAGTGTCTGTCATTGAAAGGCGTACCTCAAAAGTACATAAACATTGTGAAGGCTCTTTACTCGAACGCTACTACTCGAGTCAGAGCTTATCGCCAACCGTCATCTGATTTCGCAACCTCAAGTGATGTCCGTCAAGGCTGTCCACTTTCTCCATTTTTGTTTAACTTCATCATAGACCTACTGATGGAAATAACATTCTCGTCGACTGAATTCTCCGGTATTGATCTCCTTCCAGGAGGTCCACTTATTGACTTAGAATAAGCAGATGACGTAGTCCTGTTTGGTGAAGACGCTGATAAAATGCAGTCTTCTGGTAGCACTGAGCAACAATGCCAGAATGTTTGGGATGCGCTTCTCTCCCTCCAAATGCAAGTTGTTGCTTCAGGACTGGTCTGCGTCAACACCTGAACTAAGGATAGGGGGTGAAGTAGTCGAACGCGTCGACTTCACTTATCTCGGGAGTCTGATCAGCCATAATGGGTTGGTGTGTGACGAAATCTCAGCACGGATTCGAAAAGCTCGTTTGACGTTTTCCAACTTACGTCATCTATGGCGAAAGCGAGATATCGGTCTATCAATAAAAGGACGAGTATACTGCGCGGCAGTTCGTTCTGTTCTACTATACGGTTGCGAAACATGGCCTTTAACAGTAGAAGAAACTCGTAAGTTACTAGTAGTCGATCACAGATGTCTCAGAAATATTGCTCGCATCTGCTGGGATCACTGGGTAAGTAATTGTGAGGTTAGACGCAGGGTATTAGAGAATGGCGGTAAATCAGTTGATGAGGTTGTGAATCTTCATCGACTGAGATGGTTGGGCCCCATGCTGCGTATGCCTGAACACCGAATACCACGACGTGCAATGCTAACCGGTGTAGAGGATGGTTGAAAGAATGTTAGGGTCGGCCAAACCAAAACGTGGCATCAGTGCTTAAAGACACTAACTCCTAGAGTGAGCCATGTTGGTAGATGCAGTCTACTTGGTTGGGGTTCGCGTGACTATCGTAACCATTGGTTGGAGACTCTTGGTTACATGACTCAGAATCGATCACAATGGCGTAGATGTATACACTCTCTGTCTTCCCTTAAACTAAGAGATTAAAATCACTTCATATCTGTCTTTCTACCGAATAATTCTTCCTTCCTGTACTATATCCTTATATGCAATCTTTCTTTTGTGTATTACTGCCATTGAATTAACTACTTCTATGAATCCGGTGTTCATCTTGTTGTGCTAATGCGGTATGGCAACTTGGACCGATGCATATACGTGCCTGGTCCTACGTTGCAGCTGACTGACTGTTATAGAATCAGAAACTATACTCATTAACACAACGTTACCTACAACTCCATTGCAATATTTCGAATATCCAACAGTGAAATACTATCGTAATTAGAAAGATCAACTCCAAAACAACGTAGTTACATTTTTGCACATGAATTGTTAAACAGTATGACGAATAAAGGCTTTCTTTTTTATAAAGATATAATTTTATTTAATATGAGAAGCGGTTTTGTGGATATAATAGTAATTTCAATGGTTGAGATCATGAGTCTGTTGAAGCTAGAGCACCATGGAAAACCTCATCTTCAAAACTGAAACTAATCGAGTATGAAATACAATTTAATGGCATTATTTTCTTGTTCATATAGTTAGTTTCACAGTGATTGGTCAGTATACAGTATGTCCTAATGACAATTCCTTTGAAAAGTGTGTAAAATCGAGGAATGTTATATTAATAGAATACTTGGTGTCCTTCCATATACGATATACAGCAGATTGCTTTTTTCCGAATTGCCTCCTACCAAGTACAAGTTTTTATGCACTCAACTTTGGGCCTCAATTTACTTACTTGAGGGTTAGTGATAATACGTCCCTCGTCACCGAATAACATGTAGGACGGTTCAAACTTGACAAGTGATTGTTAAGTGGATGTCTCAGTTTCCGATGTAAATGTCATACGAAATCAGTTATATTTCAATATATCTAGTACTCACTAGCTACGACAACAGCAACCGCTGGTCACCTTATTACTATTATTTCCTTTGCTTATTTTTTACGGAATGTATGAACTTGTGACTGTAGGCATTTTATTTTCAAGTTTAATTATGGTAAGTCAACGTTTACAGATCAGCAAAACAGTGGAAAAAATCAGTAGCGTCAAGTAAATTAGTGATAAAGTAGCATTATCTGGCTACATTTATTGCTTAACAAATATTCTATGGGGAAAATATTTCCGAATGTTTTATTACTGTTGTACAGTTCCTGACAGAAGTTAATCATATTAACTGACATTGAAAAAACATTGGAATTATTTCTATTCCGATACATTATTTCACTGATTTTGCATTTCATATACGATAATTAACAGGTTTAAATCAATGAACTAAACCACCTGATATATCCACAAATATGTGAAAATGTCAATTGAAATGTTTGATACAGACTAGGTTAAAACAATCTGGGGTCAAATTTACTAAACAACAATAGTTTTCAGAAATACCCAGCAAGTGACATTAATTAAGATTACCGAATGCATTACATGTAAACACAAAACAAGTTATTTTGAAATAACGATTAAAACAGTCCTAGTTTAAAGTAAAATAATGGGGTTAAACCTACGTTCGCAGCTTCAAAATAAATTCTACAAAAGATGTATATTTCAGCATAGTTTTTCTTGCAAAAATCCTGTATATAAGATGTCTATCAAAACATGGGATATTAAGACCAAATATAAATTGGACGAAAAGACAAAGTGGCTATCAATTAGCAATCTTTATACTTATCTTAGTACAACAATCGAACCGCAGAATCTGTTCATTAAATTAGTTGGAGTATAAAAATGGCTTGAATTCTGTTAAAGTTACTCAGTTGTAAAAAATCTCACTACTCCATACAATGTATTTTAGAATTCGTGTACAAATTAATGAAACAAAAGCGTCATGAAAGGAGCCATCTCGAGTAGTTAAAAGTAAATCTATAAAGTAAAGGACAGTATCTCATAATTATGTAACGGTATGTAAGATAACGTACTATGCACAGGTGTTCTTACAAGACCTGTACTTTCGTATTTAGCAGGAAATATTTCTGATTAAGCATAAATTAGTTAATCAAGATATTCAGCTTTAGGGCGTAATGTCACGGATTCAAAATAGTTTATTACGAAATCAATGAAACAACAAATTGTTTTCCCTAGATATAAATACGATTAAGATATTTCAAATCCTATGAATGTTAACCAAACACAGTTATGATATTTACTTTAACTTAATGTTCACAATAAATCTTTATAGAGATTCAGATTTAATGTAATAAATTAAAGAGTAATATGAAAATGAATTCCGAATAGCGGTTAAATAACACTATAATAATGCTTTGCATTCGTAAGATTTTTCAACGATTTGTCGTTTAAAGAATCCAACTGTCCAAATTTAACCATCTGTAAACGGAATTATACACAATAAAAATGTACCAGTATTCTGATTTACACCCATGAGTTAGGATACAACAGTCGTTGTTTTCGGATTTGCGAATAATAAAAAAATTAATATACACCTAACTGAATATCTAAAAACAATATCGTCCACAACAAATAAAATTTCCATCGTAAGAAGTTTAGTCTTCAGGCATATTCAATAACCAAACAAAAAATTCTATTGTGATTAGACTAAAATATTATTCAGAATATAATAATAAACGTCAAAAAAACAAGTTCCGAGTATACTAAGTGTTTGTCGACACGATATTACAAGGAGAGCCATAGACTCGTAAGCACATAACCAAGAACACTAAGCTGAACAATTGAACAAACTTTAGATGGCGATACGAAAGAAATGAGACACTAATGAAGTAGATGAAACCAACAAAAAATATGGGCTGAGTTGGAAAAAATAACGGAAAACGATTGAATTTCTAAGACTTTAAAATACAAAAAACTTGGAGAAAATGGTAGATCAAGAGGAATAGCATATCATATTCCTGATAAAATGTAAACAAATTTATATATAACTCATACATTGTTAAACCACAATAATGATTCATATCTGATAAAGGAGAAAAAGAGTTAAGGACATTATATGTGAGAAATTCTCTGGAGTAAAAGACTGATGGCGTTTATATAATCGAATATACACAGTATGAGAAAGAGGAAATTAAAATTTCATAGTGTTACTCCACAAATACTTGTGTTAGAATGCTAAAAATTCTATTTTCCAAGATGGAAATTAGGGAAGTGAAGTGTTTATTCTTTTATCATGTTAGAAAATATTCAAGAACCGATATCTCCTTGAGACAGTGGGAATATGTGAATTTTTTGAAGTACCGAACAAATAGTTCAGTAATCAAAACATGTTTGTGGACCATTAATACTAATGATCAGACAATTTATAAAACAATGATTATTATCAATAAAAAGCTATGTAGCGATTCGAATGAAGGCAGCTCACACACATACAGAAAAAACTGAACAAAAATAGCAGTTAAGACTTAATTAAGTGAAGTTATCGACTGGTTAACAATTAGCAAAAAAAAGATAAATGATAAGCAAAAAAAAGAAAACTTCAACAATCAGTAAGGAAAATTAATATAAGAGCACAAAATAAAACAGGGGAAAACACCACTAACATCTGATGACTGTATATCTTTATGCAATAACAATTATCAAATTATTTTAGTTAGCCGTTATTTTAAATTTAGACAAAGCTGTATAATAGTAATATATATGACCACAGAGACATGAAAGTGAATGCATGAAAAAGGAACTGGAAACAAATACAAGCAGGTGTGTAGTAGGCATCATTATAAGTTTATTGCTAGTGTTTCTTCTTTCTGGAGAATGATGGCATTCGGAAGCTTCCTTTCTTTTTGATCTTTTTCTCAAGCGTTTTACTTCCCTAAATATTAATCGAATTATACGAAACAAAATTCATTATTACTGATTAAAGAGATTAAAACAAAAAATACCACTAAATTATATCGAAATACAATCTTTTGTTCACTTCTATATAAAAGTTATGTCCAAATAAAACATAATTCCTAACATTCCTCAAAATTGGAATAATTTTAATTCAGAAAAAAAACCGACGCGATAATTATCTTATCTTTTATCGTATTACTGCATTCAACTAGAATATACTGAACTAAACCAATACCACAAGGACGTGAACAGTAAAACTGACTTCACGACATGCTGTAACTACCAATAAAATTACATAACTGCCAATAATAATCGCAAGACAACAACAATTCGTGAATATAAAAACATGCAAAATATGGAGAAAAAACGTAAAAATAACCTCAACATTATTATTCAAAAGATCACCATCAACCGATTGAAGGGTATTTGAGTTCGACATTACAGCTGAAAGGATGAAAAATGAAAAATGCGTCAACATTGTTATCGGATTAAATAAATATTTCATTCATACGTAAAACAATAGTACCTAAAGTTTAATTGATATTTTAACTAATTAACACTGCATGGAGCGCCCGAGTTACTATCGGTCCCAAGAGTGGGTAAACAAAAAGGACTAGACAAAATATGACCAAGACTAACATCGCGAAAAAAAGGAATTAAAATATAAAATCACTAACCTGAAAAAAACAAGAAGTAAAATAAGCGCCTATAGAACAGTAGAACCAAAGCGCAAGGATCATCAAACCATATTTCAAAGAAAAAAATTAAAAGGGTTGCAACAAATTCATTCAGTGCTTGGCACGCACCAATGATGACAGTAAAGACGATAAAAGCAAGATTTATAGGAAGATGAAGTCCACCGTAGAGAACTACACAGGAAAAGCTATAACCACCTTGATGAAGGATTTGAACCCCAAGACAAAAATGGACAACATAGGGCATGAAGAAGTCACGAAACTAAATGAATTCAAGGAAAGGACCAAGGATGACAAGAGGTTTGTAGATATGCTTATTTTTAATAACACTATAGTAACGTAGTAGTACTTCCCCTCACAAATACAAACACGAAACTACATGGGAACACAATACAGAAAACCAGATAAATCACATCTGCATCAATAAAAAATTCATAAGGTTCATAGAAGTCATTGGAACAAACAAAGAAGCTGATATAACTACAGATCACCACCTGGTGGTGGCCTGGCTGAAAAAGCACTGGACAATCAGACAAGCAGCAATACAAACGTTTAGTATGGTCATCCTTCGAGATACTGACAAACTCAGTGAATTTAAGACAACTCTTAGCAACAAGTTACAAGCCTTACTAGATATGCTCGGAAAAATGATAACCACCATGGAGTAAAGCTAGAAAAAGATCAAGCAAATGATAACACCAACATGAACTATCACAGTCATCATCAAAAAGTACAGTTATTTATGAACAGCTGTCTTCACAAGATACTCCAGATCCGTTGGCCACAGGCCATCAGCAATAATCGCCTAGTAGGCAACAAACTAGTTGGCAGTTTGGGAGGAGACTAGGAAAAAATGTAGGACGTGGACAGGTCCCGATTTACGGAAATCACTAAACTGCATTACTAAAGGAGTACTAACATGACATCTATAACAAAAGAAAAAGAGGAAAACCAAAGAGCATGTGATACTGAAAATTGGACGTAGATATCAAGAGTAAAAATAGCACTTGGCAACAAATAAGGAACAGAGTTACGTGAATATCCCTGATCAACGACTTATCGCTCAAGAGGGTTACCTAGCTTGAAAAAACATTATTATATGATTGCTCCCTTAAATTTCCGGAGTCCATCTGAAAGGGTTCTATCAAGATAACATCTGACGATGAAAACGACTGTCTAAAACAGTTTGTAGACGATGAATCAAATATCAAAGTTATGGGTGAGTCTATAATTTGTGCGAAACGGTGTACAAATGTTGTGTGACGAAAAAGTAATCAGATTAAAACGTCCATGTTCGATAAGAGAAAATAGTAAACAGAATCAAAATAATATGAATACTCAAGCCATATGTAAAGTGATGCATAAACGAGAGAAAAAATTAATCGGAATATAATTACTCAACTTACACAAATGCTGTACATTGGCAGGTAGTGTTGCACTCTTATTTACACAGGAATCATTAAATCGTTTGTTCGGTGCTGGAAAAAGTATCAGATGAAATGATGAAAGTATGAAATAAAATAGATAACAAATGAACGAAAATAATATTTAGGATGAACAAGCTTCAAAAGACCGCAGGAGTTCCTGTTGAACAAACGATATTTTAATTTAAATAGTTAGAAATGAAGCAATTTTTAAATTAAATGGGGTGGAAATCTACAAACTTTCAATAATCACAAAACGGTGATGAGCAATATGATGGTTTGTTCGTTAAGTTAATAAAATCCGTTCAGTAACCGAGTATTGTAACATCAAATCAACAAAACACAAATATAACCAATTTACTAGTCTACCAGTTTGAATATCAAATTTAAGACTATAGCTTCTAAGCAAATCTTATCAGAATTCACAACAGATTAAATCTGAGTACGAACATATGGGCTTATGAAAGATCAAAACGATGGGTCGCGGATACACAAACAATAACTTAAAGTTAAACATAAGAAGTGTAAGTGACTAGGACAAACATCGGAAGTATGACTGATATCAGTCAGATATTGAGACTGACAGTAAAAGTGTTGGTAATTATTATACACATACCTCATTTGAGGTTGAGTTACATTTATCACTATAAAAAAAACAATTTCAAGGCTAAACTGACACAGTAAAAAAGATATAGAATAAATAACTTTCTAGATCTACTGAGTGATTGGAAAAGACTAGTTCAACGCCGATATAGGCTGCAACGAAGTTTTACATAAAGCTAATCAGAAACAAGCACTTCAACCACCCGGTGTATATAGTTACAAAAACATGTTTTTAGTCGTAAATTCATAAGAACAAGTGAAATAAAAATATAAATTGATTGCGAATAATAGGAGATAATCATTGCATTGCAACACATGAATCAAATATGGTTACAGTCAAGGTAGGAATCATATAAAACTTTAAGGTATTTAGCGTAAATAAAAACATGCTAAATCAAATGTTATGTGATGCATAATTGAAAGATAATGGAAAAGATTAAAATTTGATTAAAAAACAAATCAAGCTTACTTAAACTATTGGATGCCGTGGTGTCTACTGAGATCGAGACTGAACCGTTATGGATTGAATAGTCAGAAACATCATGTGGACTTCGTATAACAGGAGAATGGGAATCCCTTCCTATACGAGATGATGCGCTTCCGGGTTCAGATCGTCTAACAGGTGAACAGACAGGAGAATCCAAAGTAAATGGATGAGAACGATAGTCACCTGAACCTTTAGTTCCGGACAATTTCCGGGGCGAATCGATCATAGAGCTGGTTACTGTATATTATTTAAGCAAATCCACAACATAATACGTGATATATCCATGAACGACAACAGAAGTTATGATTTTGAAAATAGCATGCAAAGATAGAAGGAATCAAGAGATAACAACAGCTACAAAAATAAGGACAATAACAAAATTTCCACTTATAAACGACGTAACGATTCACATGCAAATAAAAGGATTATAAGAACATATTTAGAATTACAATTTCCTCACATGCAATACGAATCAGGACTGTGAGTCTATATTTTAAATAAAATGTCATAACTTACCCACACCGTTTTGTGGTGGTTCATTAGCTTTTGCTAACCACTGATTTCGTTGTGCATTTTTTTGGCGACTGGCACGGACATGATCAACAATTCTAAAAAAGGTAAGGTGAACATATATTAAGGAGTGAATAATTATTCACCAAAACCTATCTGTAAGCAATCTAACAAAACAGTTCTGACAATAAAACTAAGAATTTAAACATTTGTTTTACGCTTTCCATTTTACTAAATATGTCTGAAAACATCAACAGTGAATTGTGTAGACGAATTAACCACGCTCTAATTATTACATACAGTTCCAGTGCTCGATTTTAAAATTCGCGTTTATAGTTCATGCACTAACAATCTTCAACCAACGAACAATACACTTATAACAACTCTACTAGAGAAGCTAACGAACCTTTTTAACAGAAGTTATTTAGGCATTTTTCCATCGTTCAGCACATTCAGAAAAATGTGTCAAATAGTTCTGTTTTATTTCTTACTTCAAGGTTAGTAAATTCTTTCGGTACCCTAAGTCGTATATACATATACCACTTAGTCTAAAATACGAAATAGAAACAAATGAATGTTAACATAATACATCAAAACTAGTTTGTAAATTAGATGGAGCAATCATTCTGTGATTACTAAGGATATCAATGGAAGACAATGTTAAACAGATGACTTGGTAACTTTCAACTAACAACGATCTAAGCCATTCAAGAATGACCAATTTTTGAAAATCAGACATATATTAGGACGTATATATGTGACAAGAATTTTAAATTACCATAAACAAAATAAATTTACCGAGAAAAAGGAAACGGGAACAATAACATCAACGTGAATACAGGAATAACATTCGAGAAAGACTAACGAAACCAATTCCTACTTATAGCGAATAAGATAATGTTATTCATTAGAAACCATTAAGAAAATTGTTTAGGGCTAGAAACTAACCTAGACACTTGTTCAGCACCCGCTGCTTCAGCTGCAGCCAAATCTTCAGCCCCACTGAACTCATTAGTGGAAAAGTCCGTTGTCAGTAAATCAGCCCCTGTTATTTGGTCACCATATGTATCTCCTGGCCACGATGAACCAGGATGTGTTCGTCTCAGTAAATTAGGCTGACGATAAACATGACCAGTTCTGAAACCAGCACTATCTAGAACACGCATTTCAGCCTCAAATTCTAATTCTGCTGGTGTCCATGAAATATCTGTAAATAGAATAGAAAATAAACCACATTTACAATATCAATGCTTTTGGAAAGAAATTAGAAATGTTTTATTTAATTGCAACACAATATCTAGATACCATAAAAACCAACTTTATTATATTATCATTTTTGAAATTTTAGACCACAATGGCATGTTATTACTAAGCAAATTTTATTTAAGTTTGTATTTCGATAATCCTAGTTTTCTAAATATTTTCTGATAGAAGTCAGATTTTCTTTGTTATTTCGGGCGACACTGATAATGTGCAGCAAAAAGTGGATACCCTCTATAAATACAATGAATTCACATTGTCGATGACTACCTAACTGATACCTAATGCTTGAGACGGATAGAAATCCATAGACACCACTAAGTTGTAATGTTATTGATACACTGGTGTGTGGATTTGCAAACAACAAAGTTACGAATACTGAAATGCCAATTTTGAAACACACTCCAAATAATTAACTTACCTCCATTATCACTGCCAGTTTTACCACCATTCAATGATGTATGACCATTTTTATCTTGATCTACGACATTTGATCCTATTTCTTCTGACTGGTCAGCTTGACCGTCTGCTATTAGCTGCACAGCACTATCCTTTAAATCAGACAATAAACTTGTCATATTCCCTAGTTGCATCAATCGCATCTGTAAAGTAAAATAAATAGAATGTCAAGTTGAAGTCAAATTGGTAACGATTTAATAGATAACCCTAATCGTATAAATCAAACTTAGTAGTCAACATTGTTCCATTAGAGCGCCTCCACAAGTTCTATGCACTATTTTGTGTACATTTTAATGACGAACTTTATCACAGAACCACTTGGTCAATGGAGTAGAATGCCGCACCAGGCTCAAGAAATGCAACTTTAGTCGGGAGACGGTAAGTATTCTCATATACCGAAACCTGACGAGGGTGAATGTCTGATTAATGCATCCATATCCAGCTCGGTTTCCCCAAATTTGTTGTTCATGGACACTAGTTAAGTTTTGAAGAATTATAGGGGCTAATATTCTAGGTAAAATGTTGATTAAACTGCTTTCTTTGTGGTTATCACAAGGGGAGGTTGGTCCTTTTGTATAAACTGCGACGAACAGTGATCGAATCTAAACAGATAAGACTAAACCGAGCTCCAAAACTTCAGTCAACGTAGATGCTAGAACTGGTGCACCACCTCTAAAGATCTCTGGAGTTATCATATTTTGCTGATCTCCCTCGCTTCAAATTAGACATGGTCCTTTGGATCTTCCGAAAGCTTTTTGGGAATAGTGAGTAGCTGTAGAGTAGTGAGAAGGAAGTTGAACCTTCTATTAGTGTTCTGCCTATTGTCCAAATCTCCTGGACACAGTGATTTATAGTCCCATCTTTTTCCGAAATAGTTTCATTAATAGTTAATAAGTTTCCTTGATAAGTCAGAAAAGTTATCTCGCATTATGTGTACCTGCTACATTCTCGATTACTTTTACTTTTGTCCCCGCTGCTGCTCACGATATTGCGTTGACTTTTTATTAACTTATATTTGGGTTGTTGCTATTCATCGTACGCCAAGCCTATCATGTTAAATTATGACATAAATCCGAATTACTAAAAGTTTGGTAAAGTCTGGTTAAATTTTCGAAAACTAGTATTGAATGGTATGATCCACAAACTAAAGACAAATGAGCATTTACTAGATAACTTATTGACGAAAGATCTCGTACAGAATTACAATGCATCAACCTTATTGTGATAAATAATTTCAAAAGTTATATAGTCTTATAGAAAAAATTGACATTGACTGACCTGGGTCTGACAAGCAGTTACTACTCGTTTAACGAGATACCATGCTTCGGGAATACTAGAAGCAGTGACTGCCACACCATGATTTCGTAAAAACAGAACCTTTGCTTTAGAGCCTAGATCTTTCACAATGCTAGAACGTTCTGCCTCATCTACCAGAATACCTCGATACTCATGATAGCGAACTCCATGATTTGATACTAGTTCAATGGCCTCAGGACTGACAGGCATGAGCCCTGCGCGAAGACACGAAACCTGTAGTTAAAAAATTTGCTATCAAAGCTTCATTGATTTACGAAACTATTAGAATAACTAAAACGGCTGCATTGATCAGTTATTCGTGGTAACGATCTCTTAGTCAAGGTAGAAGAGATTTTTAAAAAAATATATAACCCTACTAGGAGAATGCATTAACCAATGTGCCGTGTCATCTAAATCCGCACTACCTAACTTAATATCATTTCGTTGACCAGAGAATGAATATATGATGCAAATAAAACAATTGATTACATTCGTACTACTTTACTTTAAGAGAAAACTGCGAAATAATCCATATTTTCTTCACTGCTTCTATAAATGTCGAAAAATGTAAGCGATACTGCGAAGAGTTAATTTATTCTTATGTGTAACGAATAGCAATGTAGCTTATTCATGCAACCAGACTTGCGAGTTTGATTTGAAAGCAGCTTAAGAAAATTATCCTGTGCTATGACATGAATTTCAACTTTGATTGGATAGTTCGTTCAAGATTTTAATGACGTATTTTTCGAATGGATATGACTTAAGAACGTATTCGAGACCAATAACAATAAACAAATTTTCATGATCATCGATTACGCATTCTTTATCAAGATTATTTTCAGTACTGATACTCAGTCAATAAAATGCGAATGAGATATACGGATTGATGTGTCAGATTATTTGGTGCATCAAAAAATTGGATGAGATTTAATACACTGATATAGTTTTGACCGTGGCGGTAATTCTAACCACTCAAATGAAGCTAAAAAAAATTAAATCGAACTGGCAAATAAGTACTATTTAATAAGCCAGTCATCAACGTAGGATATGGGAAGAGCGCGTATCTGTCCCAGCTTCCACTCCTCACATATGTATAACGAGAAATTAACCAGATGACAGCTATATAATAGGAAATAATATAGAAAATAAAAAAGGTGTTTTGGAAGAAAAAAATCTAAATGGAGAATAGAAAATTAGGAAGATGGACATCTAATCTAAGTCAGTTAGTGAACAGATTAGTAAGAACTAGGAGGACGTTTCCTATCCGTGTCAAGATTTTGTCAGATACCACACTATCAGGGCTGATGTGATCTCAAAGGAGTGTGATCAATGCACTCCACTACTTTATTTTCAATGAACAAACTAGGTAGTGATCCAGATCAATCTAGAAGCAACATTTTAAATCTATAAGAGAAACTTACCAAATACATAGTTAACCAGTTACTTACCGTCACTTCAGAAGAATCGATTTTTTCGCCGTCCTTATATACTTAATATATAAAAACACTAATTTAAAGTAAATGACCATGATCAGTCAGCAAAAATTAAATAATGGCCAAGGAAATATGTCAAGTTTATATCAATGGATTACTGCGCCAATTTATGAATTAACTAGTCGACTACAATCAAACATTTAACATGGAGGATATTCGTAGGTCGCTAGTATATGATTATAGAGCCCTCAAAAAATTGTCCGTGTATGCTGAGACCCAAAAGTGAGCATTGCTGAGGTTAGACGCAGAGTATTAGGTAGTGGTAAATCGATTAATAAGGTAGTTAATTTTCATCCACTGAAGTAGTCGAATATACATGTGGTCAACTGCCGCCTACCTCGGCGAGCGGTGTACGCCGGTATAGTAGTAGGTTGGAAAAAAGGTGGGAGCAGTCAAATCAAAAAATCACATTTCCCGATTGAAGGGAAAGGAGAACAACGAGACGACTAGACTCCTCTACTCTTTTCACTTTCCGTCAACCTTTATTTGTTACAAATAAATAATCACCATTTTCGGTATTGCTTTCATTAGTTTTTAGCATCGTTACACATAACTGACAGTATTATTACAAACCAAGTACTGACCTTGAACATAAAATATTATCTGATCCCTAACCCAGTTGACACTTAAAAAGTGTCAGAGAGGAGTTGGAAAGGACAGAAAGATGAACGGATCACGTATGGGATATAAGTATAACGATTGTTAGAAATAATGTCTGATACAGGGTAAAATTTTAGTATGCCACATAAAACATATGCTTATGAATATATAATAACTTATAGTGAGCAATCGTACGTACTAGTCCCATCTGATAACCTTTATTTCCATCTAACATTGTCATAGATGTGTTTAGATTGTAGTCAATTAACACTACCGATCACCCCAGATCCAAAAATGAGCTGCAGAGAATTTTCAACCATAAACTCTGACAGAAATGCTAATTCGAAAGAGTATGAATAAAGATCTTAAAATGTGGGGTTCATTTTTCATCCAATGAATACAAAATGTAGCCTAACAACAAAAAAGAAGCGCTTCAACATGGTGATACATTTCTCAACGCAAATATATTCGAGATATGGTGTAAACTGAAGCAAAGGAATAAACGAAATTGATTATAAAAGTAGCATTAGTTTATGAAAGCAAATAAACACATGAATTTATGGAATTAGACTTTTTGTTACTTAGTTGAATCTACACGTTACGCTACCACGAGTGGAAGGATGAACCAGGAGTTAAAAGCTATCAAGTTGATAGATTTTCCAATACATCTGACTCGAGTTGAAATGCAAGAACCTATAGCTAATCTGAAATGAAATAGAGCAGCTGGTTCAAATGGATTAACCCCAGAAGTCTTTAGGAATGGTGGTCCAGTTTTAGCGATTAGGTTGACTAATATTTGCCGAGAGTGGGGTGCTAGCCCTCCCTCTCGAAATGCTCTCACACGGCCTAGCGTATACAGCCTCTGCCAGGGAAGTCCTACTAAATGCCTTCTCGTGGCGCGGATCTTGTCTACTAAAATGAGAAGACGAAATTTATTTATTTATTTCTTTATTTGAACACATAAATATTGGTACAGGGGGGCACCGAATATATATGCGCCAAACAAAACAATGAGAATTTAAAGAGAAGGGAAAAGGAAAGGTAAGGAACGTAGGGAATATCTACATTAAAAAAGGACAAAAATGGGGGAAACGAAAAGGCACAATCGGGAGAAATCTTTCAGTTAAGGAAGAAGCAACCACTCTTTACGAAGAAAGTAATAGAAGGTTACAGCAGGATCGCCACTGGCTTCTATTCTGAGCCATATCTGATAACGTCTCTAGCCACTGTGTTACACCATCTCTCGGACTCCAACCAGGGAGTCGAAGAGGACCGACAGAAGCCAGCCTTTTGCAGCTTTCTTTCATACCACGACACCATGTCATATACTGACCACCTCTCCACTTTTGCCAACCAGTCCCAGAGTCGGCAAATAATGCACGACGAGGAATTCTCTGGGACGACATTCGTAGAACATGTCCAAGCCACCGAAGTCGGTGTTTCAAGATGGTGACACCAATTGCATTATCGTCTCTGTGACCGAACACACGATGCCGGACCTCTGCATTACTGACATGGTGTTGCCACTGGAAGTCAGCAATCCTTCGGAGACAACGATGATCGAACACAGAGTCGTCTAACATCCTCAACTCGGAGAGGCCAGGTTTCACAAGCATAGGGCAGAACTGCTCTCACCGTCGCGTTGTAGATCCGACCTTTTACAGACAGACTAACATCACGAAGGTGCCAAAGGTGGCCCAGATTGGCATAAGCCACTCTGGCTTTCACTATACATGCATTGATCTCATCACTCACGCCACCACCAGCACTTATGCAGCTACCTAGATACACGAACTTCTCGACTACTTCTATCTGCTCACCATCCACAGTGAGTACAGGATTAGAATCCTACCAGTCTTGTAGAAGTGCTTTGCACTTTGAAGGTGCAAAGCACATACCATACCTACGGACACTGATTGCCAAATGATTAAGTGCGGATTGCATAGCTTGGGCATTATCGCACAGTAAGACAATATCATCCGCATACTCAAGGTCGAGAAGTCTTTCTCCAGGCAACAGATCCACACCACCATTACTTACATCCATCAGAGCTGTTTCCAGTGTCATCGATGGCAAAGTTGAAGAGGAATGGTGAGATTGGGCGACCCTGCCTAACCCCACTGCTCGAATGGAACAATAGAGAAAGGTGGTTGTATGCCCTCACTCTGCCTGAGGTGTTTGTGTATAAGGCTTTTAGGATGTTAATAAACTTCTCAGGCACACCCTTCTTCAATAGACAATCCTAGAGAACAGTTCTGTCCAACGAATCGAAGGCAGCCCTGATGTTAAGAAACACTACGATTGTTGGCCTTTGATAAGTATGATGGTGTTCTAACATTTGGCGGAGGGTGAAGATATGATCAATACATCCTCGACCAGAACGAAACCCAGCCTGCTCCTCGCGAGTCAATGTGGTTTGAAATAAATGTTTTGCCTCATTAGGTTACTAAATGCAACCAGGGACATTTTTATAATTTACATAACCTGTACTTCTTTTTTGGTCTTTCATCGATGTGTCAGTGTGAATTGCGAACAGTGAGTGAGTTATAAAGCTGTAGTAAGTTATATAATATTCGTGTTAATCCACTATTTCCATCGTAGGAATTATTTGATTGAGCTACATGACGTAATAGTCCTTAGTAATTATTAATGAAACCTTTCAATTAAAATTAAGAATATTTTTTTACTTAAGTCAAAACAAAATACTATACAAATTCAAACAACCCACCGCTATTACATCAGCCAAATGAACGTGAATAATGCAATTAATATCTTTACGAGCTGAGTGTAGTGCAGAATGAAGAGTCCAACCAGCCTTATTTACACCTAACACTGAGCTACCTTGATCAACTATATTACCTATAATAAATAAAAAACACAAGATATAAATTGATGATCCAAATAAATATCATTGGAGTAAAATCATATATATTATAACTATGGGACGATAGTCAAAGAACAAAAACACACCAAGGTAGAAGTTAAAGTTCACAACAACGAAAGTTCAAGCGATGAAAAACAAAACTATATGAATGAAAAATTAGTGAAAGAACACATGAGATAGTCTTCGATGGAAAACTAGCAAAAAGTAATTAATTTGCTTTAAACAAATATACACAAACTAAAATCATCTTATCATAAGCACCTTGTGGAGTTAATATTAATTAAGCACATTTAAAAATAAGAATAAAAGCTATTCCGGTAGAAAAATAATACTTCAAAATCCATCTTATTGTTAAGATATTTATAGAAACCCAATAAACAGAGACAGATGAAGCTGCAGTGATATATCAAGGTGTTTCATATATGTATAACAGCATTAGAAATGACGGATTATGGAATTAACATTAGTGCATAAATGAGCTAAAACTATGAGTTTCGAAGTAGGTCATTTACGAATGCATCAGAATACTCGAATTTCAAACCAAGAATATCAAGAACTTCAAGCGTTAAAAGACTATCAAAATTAAGATAAAAGTCCAATTTACTTTTACAACAGGTCTGTAAGTAATGCAATTCTGGCCAACTGATGAAACAGTTGTTTATGGAAACACAAATAGCAAGTCTTTTTCCACAAATATTTGTGAACTCATTTTTATCAGTATAGGGTTGTGGAGATTATTAAGTTTTTGATTGAGGTCATGAACTGACTGATGTTAGACCACCACTAAAACCCTGGAAGCACTGGACGGCCGTTTCGTCCTATTGTGGGACCCCATGTCGGGTAGAGACAGGTATCTACGTCAGTACAATGGAAAATGGTCGCGCGATTTCGTGGATTGGTTGAGGTTAGACAATAACACCACTGGATGCCGACTCAATGGTCTAGAGGTTAAGCGTTCGCGAGAGAGACTGGAGGCCCTGGGTTTGAGTCCCGTGAGCAGGAGCGTGGAGGCGCACTGCTGAGGAGTCCCACAATAGGACGAAACGGCCGTCCAGTTCTTCCAAATTTTCAATGGTACTCTAACATCAATCAGTTCATGATCCCGATCAAAAAATTCATTTTCACTCATAATTGTAAAATAGAATAGTTTAGTGAAAATCTATGTAGCATTATTATGGCTGAAAATACAAAAATTAATGCTAAGTAACTCGAAGTTATGAAATTAAAAAGCAGATTTCTCTCAAGATAGACAGAATAGTCGGTAAATGATTATACGCAACGCAAAAAAGAAACGACACAACAGTCGGGCCCACAGTAATTAAGTCACTCATAAAATCAAGATTACCTTAATACGCATGACCATATTATCCACAAAAATCAGTCAGTGATTTATATCTATTTCCCATAATATTTTAGAAACAGTACAAAACGAACACTATCTACTTTTACGACGAGTAGTGTCTGAAAAATGCATTTTATCTAACAGCTTCTTTACATTATGGAATCTATTACAAAACTGTCACATTTGCACGGAAGCGAGCCGTCGACACATTTTAAATGTAATATTAAATTAAACAACTAATCAGTCTAAAATTTAGTGTGATCATTACAGATCAATTACGGACCTAAAGAAATGGAAGTTAAGAATCGTTGCGAGACAACTTACGCAGTAAAAAAGGGCTGGTCAAGACAAGAGGATCTTTTACTAATTTTTAGGAGAAAAACGAGAATGATAGTAAATCACGTTTTTTTAAGATAATTTAACCATGAGAAAGTAAACGTCATACATTCATATTTCTTTCTTCACCCCAAATACTTTCTGCATGTGCCTATTCAACGAGTTTGTTCCACGTATCCTTATCTAGAGACCTTAATGTATCGGCATTTGTCTTTACTGTCGAACTAGGTACCACAGCAAGAGCAACACAAATCAATTGGATCCCCACTGGCAGTTATTTATATACTGTCAGACTAGAGGGGTCTATCAGACTGAGAAAAAATTGGCACCATAAACCAGTTTTGTAGTCGCTTACACCCGATGAATTGTAGCCTGGATGCAATAAAAGATGAGTTTCATCACCAACTAAATGACCTCAGCAAAGCCCATGTATGACAAGTCGGCAACTAACTTAGTGTAAACGAATGAGTGGTCCCATTCAAAAAGGGACTTAGATAAAATGGACCTAGAGTTACACAGAAATCCGTGGGTACTGAAAACGATCTCAATATGTTCTAGAAGAATCGTTTACTTTGCAAGTTCAAATAATAAAAATGGTTGCATTAAGCCACCTTAGATCCTTGTTTGAACGTAAGGAGCAATAGCGAAATTTACATTGAAGTACTCACCATTTGCATCTATTTTCACTAAACTAGAGGCTTGAATTTCATGATAAAGTAACCCGAAAGGGTTAATTAAGAAGTGATTGGGATTTGTAGTGCACCTTGCCTAGAAACAAAACAAAAACCAGTATTATTAAGCTTTAATAAACAACTAGCATTCAGGATACATTGTACTTGGGAGGAATATCTAAATAATCTAGTTATGTTCCTTACATTATCACCAATGACAATTTAATAAAGGGAAGTAACCCACCAACTCAATTTCACCCTCAAGAAAATATAGCTGTAAAGGACTGGCACCTATCGGTCTACCACGACTTCCTGATTGGAGTAACAGAGATAGTGCTTCAGATGTGATTAGATATGGTTCATGATAGAAGCCGATGGAGAGCTTGTCGTTTCCTTTTATACTCTTAATAAGGATTACATTTTTTTCAACTGAAAAAAGTATTTCTTCATTTTATTGTCAACTAAACTGCATCTATGTTATACGATCCTTAGCCACCTTTCGTTTACTTCAAGTATACTTCTCTTTATTGTTTCTTCTCCATAATATTATATCTATATTTTATATGGCTCATTCTAATTTTGGTGCCCAGTAACACGAAGTATAATAAAATAGAATCTTGTTTAACTAATGTTGTAACATACACATGAGCATACCATAGTAAAAGCAGATAATGGACAAACGAATTACACGCCATGTTAAATTGTAGCACTTATGAAACAGATTATTTACAATCATAATTACGACTGACCAAATACCGTGACAAATAATAACGTGGTTTGTTTAGGTTTGAAGAATATGCAACTAGACACAAACACTAAAATCCAAACTGCTTATCAACTTACATCAAAACGCTACAAATCGTAATACTAACAGTTCATATTTTATCTATTATAAATTGTACTAACTATACACTTAATGTTGATTTCATCACATACCAATTTGTTTAGAACATAGTCTTCAGTACCATTCAGAAGATAAAACATTGTATTAGTTACTTACAGATATATGGTTATAAATTGAATGCGTCCATCCTCTCATATCAATCAAACGATACAGAGCAGCCAAACTACGTCTCAATACGCAATCCTCCCGAGGATAAGCAGCAGCTTCTTCACCACGGAGATCATTTATTGGTATTGTTGGGAGGCCACCTAATAAGCATAGTTAATAATTGAAAATAAAATTGACAAAAAACTATTTTATAAGTACTACTAAGTGATGAAACGAATCAGTGTATGTGAGCCCAAAAAATACAACAGAGCAGAACAACAAGGAAATAGTCACTTACGCTGATAACCAGTACCAACTGATTTGAGTACCTCTGGAAGACAGGCATATATTGAATAAAAAGATAAATAGACATTAGGCTCCATCTTATCAAAATTTCATATTTGTTTCTTACAAATAAGATTAGGAATCTAAAAATATATTTACCTTTTACTTAAATCTTGTTTCTCATTTCACTCAATAACATAATGTGAAAGTATTAGTGAAGCATAATAATCAGGTTTGAATGTCCGGGCAGTACCTCAGGTCACGGACATTGTAATGAATAATAATGAAAACGTAGACAGTTACCCTACACCAAACAGACGGTAGGCAGAGACTGAATTGTTGCATCTACGCACAGAACTATGTAAACCACAGTTATGGTCACAAAGACAAAACTATGCGCAAATATAGTTTGATATTGAATAAGGTTAGACTCACTATATCCCAAGATTTTAAAAAGGAAATAAACTTTTGACGGTTTACATATTGAGTTGCTATAACAGAGAAAATAGAGATACTGCTCTATAATGGTTTATTCACTAAAAACTACCGTTCATTTATGACCTGACACGATTCACGCTATCACAGCCCGTTAGTATAAAGGTAGTTCCAGATTTAAACAAGACTTAAGACTTCCAAACTGCAAGAAGATTAGTACACATGAACCCTAATTTAATCAACACTTAGAATACCTTGGTTGAAGTACTTGACTTCCATACAGCTAGATATGAGTAGTGTACTTATCTGATCAGATCAGTTACCTAGATCATCAAACACACATGTAGCGAAACTTATTCAGATGGTTCGTGTCGACAGAACTCGTACGAATTTGCCCTTTGGGTATAAATAACGAACAGCAAAATGTTACATTTTAATCGCCTTTAACCACTTAGCAAACCAAAACCTCGAGCGGCACTCACACTTTACTTTCTGAATAAGCGAATCAAAATATCGCATACTAGGTATCGACAAATCTGTTGTTTTAAGAGCACTTACATTTACTATTCACAATACGCAGGTGAAAATGACCAGTTAAACAAACAACAGGTGACTATAGTCGTTAATGGACTTTGGAAGTAGATGCTTTAACATTACTGCCATTGGAATACAACATAAACCCGCATAACACAATCAGATGCCATTTCGAAGCCATAATACTGATTGTGATGTCACAACTAAACACTGTTAACGTTCGGATCAGTATATATATATTGAAGCTTCGCATTACACATTGAGCTACGGTAATAACAGAACAATCTGGCTTTAGACAATGACTGGATTTAGTCAACATATAACTGATTAATTATAAGCGTTGTAGAAGAAACTTGCATAACCAAGAGGTCTGTTCTTTATACTAAATACCTGATTTGCGACTGGATTTTTATGAACTACCTGCCTTAGCTAACGACCTGTAGTACTTTCTGATTAAATATCGTGCTTTGAGTGGATACTTCTATAAGGAGCCGAAGTTATATTTGGTCATTCTGTACCATATGAAACGACTGATTTAAATGTACATAAAATACAAGTAATTGGACATTTAATCACTGATACACACCTGGTATAAATCACTCGATGTTTCGAAGTGTTGAAGTTCCCTACAGAATAAATGGGCTGTAACGATATTGCATATCGACAGTTTGTTGAATAAAGCACTCATACAACAGATGTGGTTAATGTACTAGATTTTTGACATTACGAATCCATATCACTGCGATTAGACAGTGACTTCAAGATGACTGAGTCAACAAGACAATCACCTAACGGGTATTTCTAGATTACGAATACATTACATAACCGTGTTAAAAGTCTACTACTAAAGAAGGCACAAACGAAAAACAAAATGCACGCATTGTATTATAACCGAAATTACTAACTATAAACATCAAAAACAGAATTTAAACTAAGTATAACAGCTCTTACCTTTCAAGTCAGCCACATTTTCTAGTCTCATGGTTTGCCCAAGAAGACTTGATAATTGATGAAGAGCGCTGCCTTGCTTGTGGTTACCAGACATTCTGTTAAACGAACTCATATTCTTTCCTGTACTGCTATGATTTGACAAGCGATTCTTTAGATTAAGACTGACTTCTTCGTCACTCAAGCCTAATTTTTCGAGTATAGAAACTATAAACTACCAGATAGACAATTATCACTGAAATCTGTCATTATACTCCACTACCAGATAACCATTAAAATGGTCGGAGCTATGTACTCGGAGTAAATCCCCAGACTCGTCTTCGTTAAACCACCGACGCGCAAAAATTAGAGAAACGGTGAGACTGGAAACGCGCGCTCACTAAATCCAACAGATATAATTTAAAACAAGCGAAAAGTACTATTGAGGAATGTGATAAACGACGTATTAAAAACATGAAATTCCTGGTACGTTAATTCAATTAGCTCTTACCGCTGTTGGACCAGTAAATTATCTGTGAACTTCAGTAAAAACGTTCATCGAGCAGAAACACTTCCACATTAGAGCATTGTTCAGTAGACGTTAAACATTTAGACAAATATCGCCGAGGATTAAAAATGCGTAAAGATCAACAAGATTTATACACACGTTGATTTTTCCCGTTTCTACATCTCTATTCCTTTCGTTTCATAATTTACCATTTATGCAGTAACGTTTCACTTGTCATGTACGAACACCTCGAATGGACCTACCATTATGCTAATTAATTGTTCAGTTCATGTGTTGTACAGTCAGTCTCACGAGGTATTCATTTATGAAGTCAATAAAAAGCTTATAAGCCTTAGAAAGTCAAGACTTTTATTCTGATCTAAAGTCATCAACACATTTTTTACTTCTTAGCCCTTTTTACACAATAAAACACGCTTGTAGAAAATCTTTTCTCCCATTGGCAATTCCTGTCAAACAAAGCGTAACAAATCTGTTTTGAACTTAAAGTGACGTACCAAACATGTGAACCACTGCTGTTTCGAGATCATGGAAAGTTTCACAACTTAATTTTTACTATCAGAGGTTTTTTATACGTACAACCTACTGATTGGCCAACTTAAGTTTTAACAAATCTATTGAAGTAACAACTATTTTGGTAATCTACGTTGCACCTATTTATCACTATTGTTATAATGACGTTTACTTGGTCCTTTTTAAATATACATCGTCATCATATGAACTAATTCAGACACTATTTTCTTATATTTACAAACAAACAAAAAAGTGGATATATTCCTCGACTAAGTGAAATTTTTATAATCAGTAACATATTTGATTTTTCATGTAAAATATTTATTTACAAAAGTCGTTTTTTAATTATTTATCGAATTTATCTGAGCTTATTAAAGATCTTTCAATCTCGTCTTTACAGAGTGTTCCAACAACTTCATCAGAATAAGAGTTTAGCGTCGAAATCGAAATTTGTGCTGTGTTTAGAATTAATGATCATGTTTGAGTGTGTATCAACAAATTTTACGCCAAATCTTAGCCGTCCAAACTTAAATCTTAACCTTGATCTCTAGTGGCTGACAATCTAGAACAAACTTTAAAAATCTAATTTATTACGTAGAAATTGTGTGTTCTTCGTAGACGTTTTTTTTGTTTTCTAAATCATTCACTTATTCTAATTGTCAGCAGAGGGTTTAAATTCCGCCTAAGTTGGGTAATATTATCTAGCTTTACCGATAATTATCATAACTGCAGCGTAAAGATTTTGATCTACTTACTGGCAATATGGAACTTCTAGAACGGACTACTAGCAAACTCAAATAAATTCAATCTTGTTGGAAAAGTTTTACGTTGTATTTAAAATGTAATTATAGTTCTCATTAATTCATGGATTGCTTAATACATTATAGTTTAGAATCCAAACCGCCTAAGGCTGAAAAATGTACTTTCTTACCAAAGCACCAAGAGGAAGATATGGAAGATTATACTAGAAAAGGCCCGATAGGAATTTACCCTCTTTTTGCTCTTTCAACATAAATTCTCAATGGATTGATACCAAGAACATCAGACAAAGAATATCCGCACTTATCAAATTCATGGATTTTTGCGGCCCAAAACAGTGAGCCTGAAGATTAGAGTGGTAAGTGAGAATCGTGAAGAGTCAAAAACTATGCAAAGCCAAGAATTACTGAAAATAGCACTACTTTCCGATTAGTAAAAACATTTTCACCGACAAAAATAATCGTTTTGTGACTTCCCAGTCGGCAGAACGTCAACTGCAATTAAAGGGAATCATGTTAGTGTCTCTACGTGTTTTAAGATGCATTTTCATCTATACAACTAGACTTTGTTGTTATTAGAGTTTGGAATAACGTATCATTCACAGCTTATCTTCAACACGCTCCTACAACACTAATCTTTTTAGATGTTTGGAAGCCAAATGACCCATCGATTAATTTAGCACTTCGGCCTCTAAAGTTAAGCTACTTTATGAGATGAAAGATAGCATGGATGGGTCATACTACAAAACCTAAAGTAAAATTCTTAGTTTTAACTGTAAGTTACTGACTACTCACCAATACTGAGAAATGGATAGAATGACTTACAAATAAATCTTTTTCAGTCCACCCTAATATGGGTTCGCTTCAAGTAGATAATGTGATATGAATGTGCTGGCCATCTGAAACAGTCGGTGGTTGTTAAATAAACATAATTTCTCAGTGCACACTTGTCACGTCAACAGGCACTCCGATCTTTCTCTTTTGACAGATGAGACCCTGTGAAATAAGTATCACTATAATCTCATTCTTATATTAAGATACATATTTCTGGCACAGCAGGTAGGCACCATTTTCACAGGCATGATCATAAATTTACAACATTGGTTTATAGATAAGGTGGTTCACAAGTAAAATCGTTAAATAGGTGGAATCAGTGAAAGTAAAAGGCAGTATATTCGTGCAGATATACCAGCACGTTAACAATTATGTTACAAGTCAGTACTTACTATGAGTACAGTGTTTATCGACTGTATCGAAAATGGAATCGTGACCAAGCTGTGACATTAGGAAAAGCACAATAGGTACAAACACGGCAATCGTGTGTTAAAATAGTGATGCTGCTAAGTATTTATGCAATATATTTGTTCAATAAGTCTATAGTCGTTTGAAGAACATATAAAAGGCGCTTGATATGATCTGTGACTTTAAGGGGGAGTATGTTAATTTTGTTTCAGATAAACAACTATGCCCTGAGTGTGTGATATCGAAAAAAAAGAAGCAAAGGAGCAGAGAGGAGTTTGAACATAAAATTACAATAATGTTTGATGGTTTGTTGTGGAACAAACAAAGTTATGGTATATTAGTAGATAAAATTTATACTAGATCCTGTTACTAAGATAAGGTGTGGTTAAGCATTTTCCAGGTAAGAGAGTACAGTGATAAAGAACAATAAGCAGTGATGTGTAAAAAGGTGGAATAAGTTCGAATGATGGAGGGAAAGTCAGTTAAAATCAGGAAGGCTTTTTATTAAGAACGAAAGTGTGTCGCAAGAGACTCAAGTGTTTGGAAACACTACTAACCATATCGTTTGCTGTCTGGTATATTTTTATCATCATTTTTCATCCAATGGCAAACACTGGCTTATAATGCTAGAGTCTGAGTTGGTATGCTATAGGTTATCTCGATAGAGTAGTTAATTAATTTAGGCCGAGGCCTTCAGTTTTGTTTTTCTAGGATTCTCACAGAGAAAAATGAATTATTTTTCTTGGAAGTACGGAAGATAACTTAAGTGTGAACAACTATATATGAACTGCAAATTTCAAGCTATATGATAAGATCTCAGTTTGAAGTATTCATAATACATATGATCACATTCATACAATGATTCATAATCATAAGATTACATATTCATTTTGGCTATACGATCAAACCATGCTCTGTCATTTTTAAAGCCATATATAATCATATTTGACGAAAATTGCATTTCATATTAGCGTTCTGTTCCTTACATCATCTTTGGATGCTATAACCCGTGTAATTTATGTATTTGCAGGATCTGTTCAAACCTCTACCTAATATCAAGAAATATACATATTCGTGTATGATGAAGGACTGTACTCACTATTTTATATACTATCGTTTAAATGGTATTTGGACGCTATAACTCATTTAATTTCCGAAATTACCTGTCCAATTCGGTCAGTCTATCATAGTTTTTGGCCAGTATTTTTATCCAAGCATCTGTTTCATATATTTGATCATAAAGCACCATAATAATCTTAGACGGCAATAATCTTTTAAACTACATATATCTGCACCTCCCAATGTTTACAAATGCAGACTTTCAGTTTATACATGTACCACATATTATACCCACCTTAATAGTTTGATACTATTTATTGATAGTTCCAAATTACTTTATTATATAAGGCTATCTTTCCATGTAATATGTGTGCTAAAATTTACACAACGTGCTCCTTTAGATTCTATTCTGCCTACACACATGTACTGATATACTTACTACACTTCTACTACGGTCTTTCTGCCATTCTCTTCTTTTTGACAGCGCTAATCCTCACATTCATTTCTGTTTTAAACATAGGTTTTGATTTTTAGGCTACCTTGAGCCCTCGGCATTGATCTTTTTACCCATTTCTATTTCCAACATTTTGTTCAATCCATCTGCTATTTGTCACTTTCTTATCATGCCACGAAGGAAAATGTTGGCCAAACGTAGGAAAACGACACAACCTAACACGATTTCCGACAGTTTTAACAAGACGACCTAATCCGTTCATCCGGAAGCAGACAAGCTTATATCAGTTGTCTCTATTCAAGACATTTTGAAGATTCTATTAGTAAACAATTATAATAATCACAACTGCTACCATATGGATGATAAAAATTTACAAGTTGACACGAACATTCTTAATCTGCCTAAGAATCTCATCAACCCCAACCTCACAGAAACTCCAGATCAAATGAATGACATAGATAATTTCCTAAATCGTGTTGCATCAGAAGTATTTGAAAGAATAAGACGATCTAGCAATGCAATTGTGTTTAACATACCGGACACATAAGCCGTTAATAATATCAAATCTAGTCTGCTTAGAGCCAGAAATATGACACGTACCATGTGTGCACAAGGTTAAAAAGAAGTCACCCTCGAATACACTCACCAATCTTGTTTAAATTTAACTCGTCTGTAGACGCCGGTGAGTTTTAGCATTCTCCAGTTCATTGAGACAAAAAAATATTTTCCGAGATATTAAAATTTTTTCACATAGAACACCATGCCAGTAAAAAACAGGAAGAGATGGTTACAGACCACCGGCATCAAACTCCTAAACGCATCATAATATTGATGGCCGTAAAATTAAATGTGATTGTAAGAGT